GTAGGTACAGATCGCCACCATAGTTCCTTGTAATCCAAGCAGCTTCCATTAACTCTAAGATTTTAGCAGCCTCTCCGAACCCGTCCTACTCAACGCTGTGAAATTGGGGGCTCTTTCGGGATCAGAGGAATGAGACCCACTTGTTCTACTGCGTTTAGCATTTTGATACCCACGCATAGCTCGCTGGGCTCTGAACATGGGGGTTGGGTTTACTCACGGATGGCTTGCCAGACTCTCCCAGAGTGCACATGGAGCTTATTTGTTGGAGGCGACTCCTAACCGCCTCTCATATACTTCCCTTTTACTTGATTGCAGGTTTTTGGCCGAATTGACTCGTAGAATACAATCTCCAAAAGCTAGAATGCACCCACACACACGTGCATGAATACACTTCGTAAATACAGAAAGTATGTGCCAAATCGGCGCAGAAGAAACAGGGAATCCCCTGGATCCACCTACGTCTCAGGGAAGCAAAGGTCTCTTTTGGTCTGCGATTAACCCCGTATCCGCCACCTGGGGACGCACCACGTAGATTCGCGACTAACCGGCTATCGGGGATCCCTCATATGAATGGGATCCGTGGCAAAAAAAACCATACCTAAATTAATGTAACAGTAACAGTTGAGACCAAACAGCGGAAAACTTAAAAGAGCCTTCAAATCGTATGCTCAATATGTATACGTTACATTGTTAACTTCTTTATTTACTACCTATTACAAATTTTCACGACAGGGTATTATACGTTACACAACCATAATGATGCTGAAATATTGGCAAAGCTCCGGACGGTAGATGTCTGCGGTGGGGAACGAACGCGTTATTACCCTTTTCGGGGGTTAACGCGTTTACCACGATACCGTGCGGGTTCTTCGCTTCGCGTCCCTCAACTAGTTTTCTATCTACCAGTGCCATTAGCAATCACCCATTAACAAGATTGATCCGTGGAGCCCAAATCGGCAATGGACATAATTAAGCTGAGGCTGTAGTTTCTTTATATTATATTATTGCATTCAACAAATTTTCTATGAAACCCACTAAAAATATGTCGATGACATACCGTGTCAGTAAAATCTGTGTCCACCATGTCCATATAGCCAGGAAATTTTGTGAAGTTCGCTTTGTCTTTCCAATAGTTGTCAGTTTTATCATGGAAGAGGCTTACGAAGAAAAAACATCGTCACTTCAAAGTAGGTGCGAAACGCTAAGAGTAAGAAGGAAGAATTTGAGATCACCGTACCATTCAAATGCTTCAACAGCCTTACACATGTCACGGTATGTTTCTGTCTTTGTACCACCAATGCTTGTACCAACTCGACCCCACGAACGGAAAAGATAAAAACTGAAAACTAAGTATTAATCTTCATAGTCGTAAATACCTAGAATGTCTCTTAAATACACATTGGTTTAAAGTCGTGTTTTAGAAGTTGCAACTTGTAGTAAGAATTTCTGTTCGTTTCCATATCAACACTTCCAAGAACAACCGAGAATATCGTACCTAAAAAGCGTTCTATTTTAAACTAGCTTGACTGCTCGTTTTATTGAAAGACATGGAGAAAGATTTAATTTGACAGTATAAGCATACCAATGCAAAGAAAACATATACATATATATAATAAATAGATAAAGAAAGGATAGTTCTCGATGTTGATCAATCTCTGAGGGATTCGACTTCACTAAGCATCGATGGAGGTGACTGAATGCATATCTGGCCTTTACAGTGGCTCGTGGTGGCCTACCGATGCATCGAACCAGTGCTGCTATCCTCGCAGAGAAATTTGGTAACAATTTACAGACCACGGAGGGATAGAAGGCTCGGTGGGCCTGAGGTGCGGGGATCCTTCCTATGTGTATAGCAGAGTGCCACCGACCAATGGCCACCACGCGCACCTTGTAAATAAAATTAAATAGATACTCGAATAAATTACCACTGTTGTTGCGGTAAACATGGCATGTTTCCGCAAACTCAAATTCCTGGTCGACTACTGCACCGCCTTTGATGAGCTGCCGCGATAATCCGGAACCCACTAGAAAATATTGCAATGCTCAAAGTTGAATGACATTGCTTGAAGAAAATATGTAAAATACATATTCCAGAATCCTAAAAACATTTAATAGAAGATCAAAATTTGAACTAACCTCCCATACTTTTTCCTTCAATATCAGCCTTTTCATACGCATTCATGCAACGCGATCCTAGGTATTTGAAGGTATCGGAATGACTGAAACATATTACTAGTCCAGGAACATTAACAGAAATCTAATCGTGGAATAAAAATCCGTCTAATTGGTACTTACCCAACAATTACCTCATTAGATACTGCCTCGTTGTAAACGCGTTTCGAGAAAACCTAAGTCAAAAACTGATCAGTGAAGAAAAATGTAAGTACAATGCCTTTTGCCATTTTCTCAAAAGATAATAATAAAAACCACTAACGTTGACTTTGAGCTTCTTTAGATACTTGTTTTTCTTCAGATCCTTTGGAATAGCGAATTTTTTGCGATCAGGATTATAACTTTGATAAACACATTTTGTATATTCCGACAACTGTCCATTACATCTATACGTCCTCAACGTCGTACTAAAAAGAGTGACTTAGGAACTCTTAACTTTGGCAAAGGTAATCATATTCAGTTCTACCAAAGTGAACAATCTTATGCTACTAATAATTGCCTAATTTAGAACATATTACGTTATTTAGAAGGCGGATAGCACAATGATAGTGATTTCGGTCACTACGAACATGGTCATGGTGCCAGTTCAATTCCGCTTCGGGCCAACCGAGCCTCTTATCCCTCTGGGGTCGGGAAATTGATACCGGATCTATTTCCGGAAAAAAACCACTCGCTGCAATCCAAATGGGAACGGTCCAGTCCGGCCATCTCGGGACTCCAGAGAGAATCGACTCGACCAGCATTCTATGACATTCAAGATGAAATGAAAATCTTAAAGCAGAAACCGAAGCCACACGTAAAAAGTTGAAAGATTTTCGCGGACAATGGATGCGAGGAAACAATCCAATGCGATAAGTGCTGGGATCCGCACAGTAAACGTGAAGATGGATCATATAAAAATAAGAAAAAATACGTCGATAGGAATTATAAGTTTTTCGCAAGGGGTACAGAGTGGCAGAAAGGACGACAGAAATAATATATGGCTGTTTGCTTCCAGCCGTTCATTTTATCACATCAAGATCTTTAACTGTAGCTTTTCCAATCAATCGACAATGGTTATTCTCCATCTAAATGGCTGCCACCTCCTTCTAACGCCTAATTCTTTGTTGCAAACACTACAAGTTAGTACCAACTCATGCCGGCCGGTTATCTAACCCAATTCGCTTCAGTTCCACTCGATTATCCTATGTGTATTGTTAATGGACTCGGTGTTTATATTTTCCACGAGTCCTCTAAGTTCTCTAGGTGTTGCTCCATGTTTTCGAACAATTTGAATGTGGGTGTAGTCATTCTCCTATTCACTGCCTATTGACCCCACCGACGGGTGATTGCCGGTAACACTTAAAGGTTAAAATACGGCTGAGAGAAAGGCGAAACGAAGGCCCGGCATTGTGTAATGATGAACAACCTATCCTCCGAAAAGGATAATATTGGGTTGGATCACCGCCGCAGACACCTATGATCCAGTGTTCTACAAATATCTCATCATCAGAGTGGCTACATTTTATGTGTTTAATAAATGCAACCACGATGGACAGCATCTGGGAATCAGCTTCAAATTATATACAGACCTTGCAGTATTTTTATACTCGCCCACGATATACGATAACCACGATTCATCACAGTAAATTGAAGACCATAAAATCAATTCTCGATCAGAATTGATTCTTGTGCTTAACACATTCGTGACAATTTGAAAGTATAGCGTCCACCTCCACTTAAACGGCTAGAGAACTTCGTCGCGTTATATATGTTCATTCGATAGCTAATCGAAAGGAGACCAGTATAGGAGGGGTTGGACTAGGAAATCCCCTTTCTGCATTTAATGATTTACAAAAAACTTCTTTTCGAACAAGTTGATAGACTGGTAAATTGACCAACAATTAATTGTTATTTCATTTCAATCGCTAACAAAAATTATGGCTATTGTTTAGAATGTGGGTACAAAAAAGTTGAAGAATACGAATATTAGTATCTCTATCCTCCATTGTCGACCTGATGAAGAAAGCAAGAACCAAGGATAAGTACGACGCCATCCGACTAGCGGATACGAAAGGAAGCCACACATTAAATTCCCTATATGATAATGCAGAAGAACTACCTCCGGGAAAATGTGAAAAGAGAAGAATAACGTCAAGCTATGGTGAAAAATTCAAAGAGTTCTATATGAATTTCGAAAGGTTCCTACAGTGAAGACCATACCCGTTTTATAAAGTCTATTGGCCTCTTTCACGCTACGATTTGATCCAAAAGAATCACATGAAGAAGATCACATCGGGATGAACCATCAGGATGAGCGCCTATTCAAGTTCAACATGACGATCAAGACCATCCATGGTGACTCACAACTTCAGAAGCCCAATTCTCAACGGTAAACGTGGGCTCTCTCAAAAGAGAGTACCAAAATGAAAAAGAACATAAACCGAAGGTTTCGCCTAAAAATGGGAGCGGCCTCTTTCGCGAAACTTCCTCATTTACGCTGAAAGGCTAGAAAACTGGAAAGTCTCGGTGTCCGTCAAGACACCGTTGTCGACAACATCGATGACTATGGCTGGCTTACTCAATATTTTCACATTAAGCTTAGGAAGCCGAAAGCCAGAGGGGTGCCATAAGACATCTGTCTGCAGGAATATTTGAGGTAATAAGCCAATATTGAGTCTCACGAACGTGGGGAATAGCTAAACGACGTCCGATGTTGCATTGCTCTGCAAAAGCGGTAAAGGAAGGTGTCAAGTACAGAGCAGCATCATTAGTAGGCGCATTTGCAAAGCTGAAATGAGCACTCTCTATCGCTGTAATTTCCCAAACTAGAAGAGTAAAATGCTTACGGAAAGGTGATGCAGAAAATCACCCACGAAACTGATCTCTTGAATATCCACGTCCGCTTGCCTTGCCTATACGAAATAAAGAAGATTGGTGCTCCAGCAGTGCTCCCTCCCAAAATATGACATGCTACTTTGTCATTGAAGAACCGGGTAACATTCAATCAGGAAAAGAACCCAACATCTGAAGAACCTTCCGACAATTCACATAAACAATTCACCGGCTCTGCTTTTCACACGATGCCTGCCAAAATGCAAGGTTACTGTGAATGGAAGACCAACAAGACCGTGTGTTGCTTAACACTCTCGCGACGAGTGACACTTATAGGTGTCATTATGATTTTGCCGTAGTGGATGGTATGACACCTAACGGCTTCACTTTCCTTCCGGTAGGTTATTTTAACACAAAGAATCAAGTTCCAGTACTTTTCTTATCAACTAATAGCTTATAGAACATAGACGCTGTGATGAGAGTTGGACAGGAAAGGATCTATTCTGCACTTATAAATACACAACCGTTTTCCTAACATGTCCACTAACCAGAAATTTGGGCTAATCGACTACTATTTAAATTCTAAATGATACAGCGACTTATTGTTATCCTGTAGAGTATGCAAGCATAAAAATACTGAAACAGAGACCCATAAGACGCAAAACACTTCCAAATGCTTCAACGTAGCGAACAAATGTACTAATTGTCTGAGTTCAATATCGAAGTACAACAATGACATCTCTTATTCTTCTTAAGGGCAATATTCTCCTTAGTGGGCACTTTATTAGTCAGAAACACTCTATTGTAAACGTAAAAACGTAAAGTTGTCCAATAAACTCTTGTATCAAAGATGGTAACATATGACAAGTCGGATAGTGCATGAGTCCCCACGAGAGTAATCGCGTGTTCGAAACCCACCTCCTGAGGTTCGGAGTTTTGTTCATATCTCTGCATCCTTGTGGTTGTAGTCCACATCGTATTCTACTACGAAAAACAGAAAAGACAGTAGACAAAAGTCAGGACTTCGTTTTAGATTATTGAGTGTAGAGAACAGATTTCAAGCATACCGTTTTATTGTTTGATGAGATGTCGATTGAATATAGCACATAATATAATATAGCACAGTAAAAAAGCTCATTACGGACGTAAATAAAATGAGCTATCAAGTTAAAGTTCGATCTGACCCACTCACGCGTGAATG